AATCCTAACACTTTGGGATGCCGAGGGGTCAGATCATCTGAGGTCAGGAGTTCAAGACCAGCCCAGCCAACAAGGTGAAACTCTGTCTCTACTAAAAACACAAAAATTAGCCAGGCATGCTGATGCATGCCTATAATTGCAGCTACTCGGGAGGCTGAGGCAGGAGAATCGCTTGAACCCAGTAGGCAGAGGTTGCAGTGAGCCGAGATCACGCCACTGCACTCCAGCCTGCGTGATAGCGAGACTCCATCTCAGATATATATATATATACATATACATATATGAAGGTATGCATAAGCTATATGCAAATACTACACGATTTTTAATTAAGGACTTGAGGATTTTGGTATCTATGGGAATCCTGGAACAAATCTCCCACACCAAGGGATGGTTATCATGTTGTAAACTATTGCAGCAATGGCCCTCAATGAATTATGTAACCACCACAGCACCAGTGAACCTAGGCACAGGGAGCCCGGCCCCCATTTCTGAATCCCAAGCAAATAAACAGTTGTTGTTAAGCCACAAGAAGTAAGGAGGACCAGAACACAGAATGCTGTCATATGGCAACCATCCCTGCCATAGTATTCTACATATGTAGGATAACTGGGGAAAAAAGAACCAAACTGTTTCATCCACAGACTTTTTAAATTCAACATGTAGTTCAGAGTCAGCCAGCACTCAATAAACATTAATAATTGATGTTACTTATCCCAAGTAATTTAGAACAAAGCATGGCAGAGAGAGGGGAGTGTAATGGGTTACGTGGGAATAATGACCAACTCTTACGTTTTTAGCAGTAATTCAATACTCCCTTATGCCTGTGTACACAGCAATTCCGAGTCCCACAGAATGTGGACAAGTCCACTACCCTCAAGACTACAGGGGTGTATATCACAACAACATTAAGAATGTTCATATACCTTGGCATGTTGTTATGACCAGCAACACCATTTGTGCAAACGCGTACTGCCCTGGTTAGCTCTTTTGTTGATCTAGCTCCCTCCCTCTTCCATTAACAATAACCCTTTTCTTTGTGGGATACTTTGTCTCCCCACAGTCCCATTTTATGGGTCTAACAGTAACTCTCCTTTGGCTGGCATCAAGCCAATTCAAGTTCCCTCCAGGGCTTTCCCAAATTGGAACTAACATCAAAAAGGCCAACTCTGGATGAGGCTTGAGAGCTGTAATACCAGCAGCCACATACATATGATCTTTTTCTTATTTCTTCAAAAGCTCATGCAACAAAGGATCCCATTTTTGCATGAGTACACATGCATAAAAAGGTCACAGCCAAGCGCTTCTTAGAGACTTCACCACCATCCACCCCCATCTCCTACCCAAAGAGGTAATAAGCCACTGTTCATGACTGACAGATAACCCTAGTGTGCTGAGGTGGTGCAGGGAAGAGGCTGAGTCACTGTGGCTCTGGGCTATGTAGACTGAACATACTGGGTTCACATCTGTCTACCTCTACAACTAGAAGGTTTTCACTAATAAATTCCCCCATGGACTGGGCACGGTGGCTCACACCTGTAATCCCAGCACTTTGGGAGAACTGGGAGGCCGAGGCAGGTGGATCACAAGGTCAAGGGGTCGAGACCAGCCTGGCCAACATAGTGAAACCCGGTGTCTACTACAAAAAAAAAAAAAATTAGCTGGGCATGGTGGTGCATGCCTGTAGTCCCCACTACTCAGGAGGCTGAAGCAGGAGAATTGCTTGAAACTGGGAGGTGGAGGTTGCAGTGAGCTGAGATTGCGCCATTGCACTCCAGCCTGGGTAATTGAGTGAGACTCTGTCTTGGAAATAAATAAATAAATTCCCCCACGTTAGTGGCAAAATCCGTGCTAAAATCCAGGAACTGTCATCCCTCTGCAACACTGTTGTCCTTGATATTCCTGTCTATGGAACTCTTCTTTCTAAAATATTCTCCTTGATCACACATACATAGAGGGGACCCTCAGGACAACATCAATTCTAGAAGGGCAAGCTCCATCAGCAACACAGCTAAACCAAACAAGAAGAACCCCTTTCACTCTCCACAAGATAATGCTCCCTGAAAGGCTTCTTCATCAAAGTCCTCACCATTCCAAATCCATGCTCCTGAAAATATTATTAAAAACCAAGAGCTACTCTTCTCCTTTGCTGCTCTTGTCCCCTCCTGGTACAAAGTCTCCCAACTTCTTCAGCAAATACTGCTTCATAATGCTCTCTTCTCCTCTCACTCATGGAAACGGCAGCAATTTCAGGTGCACTATTCCTCCTTCTCAGCCAATGAGCACTGATACATCTTCTTAATGAGGTTTAAACCCCATTGCTTATTATTTTGAAAAGACAATCCTCTGAGAATAAATTTTAAAAGCTGAAGATGGACAAGCTGTTCAGACATAAAAGAGCCTACAGCTTAGCACATAATTTCATTTTAGAACCTGTTAAAGAAAATCCATACCAGCCTCCAGATAAGTGTCAAGCTGCAGTGAGTGGTGCTAACTAGGCAAACAGGACACAGCACAAACATTTAGAGACACAGCAAAAATGGGTCACCTGCAACCGACTAACTCTTTACCATCAACCTAACAGCATAAGGGAAGGATTTATTTAGCATGAGAAATGCTGCAAAATCAGACTTATCCAGCCATCAACAGAAAGAGCCCAAGAATGATGACACCAAAAAAGGAATATTCATCCAGGCTTTGCAATTAGGCCGAGAGATACCAAGATCAAAGGCAAATGATACGTTCATTTTTTATTTTAAAAAAGAGGTACACATTTGAGAAGTGATTTCCTTAAGAATGCTGTCTGGGTTACTAGTCCGGATTATAAATCACATTACACCCTGAAGCCTACTTAATAAAAAAGAAGTTGAAAATAAACAAATGATTAGTTTGAAGCATGTGACTTTCTGAAACTCTCTTGAGGAGAAAGTTTTATTACAATTATTAGTGAACTGTTTTTAATCCCTGACATCAAAGCGTAGATGTTAACCCTGGGGTTCTGAAATCAAAATAACTCGTATATAACCCTAAAAAAGTATTATGAGAAATTGCCACATATTAGTCTGTTTGGCAGGTTTGAATAAACAGAAGTATGGAAAAGAGAGTAGGGAGAATCAGAAGACTTAGGTTAAGTTCAACTCCACTAATTATAGATGATACAGGTCGAATTTAACTTCCTAGGCCTCAACAAAGGGTTAGGGATAAAATACTTAAACCAAGCCTTTATAAACCCCATAGCACTGCTCTAATATGACAGCACTGGCTCCAGAATTCCTACATTTCTCAAACTTTTGGAGAGTCACAGAACTTTAGGAATGCAAGGTCATCCAATTTTAGGGATGATAAAAATGAGAAAACCAAGACCCAGAAAGGCTTACGAACTCTCTTGTACAGCAAATGCTTTCCTAACGTGGGGAGAAAGGGGGAAGGGAGAGGTTCTGGTTTTTCCACCACTGAAATACGCATTTAAAAGAGAGTTGAAAACAAACTATTTTAAAGACTAAACAAACCTCCCACAAATATATAAGCATTCTGCTTTACTTTGCTTCTGTAAATTTACTCCTGTAACAGAAGTTAAACTATCATAAAGATAAAATTAAAGCCATTTATTTTTCTATGAGACTCTCAACCCAACTGAGACAAAATCTTTACAATTGGGTTAAAAATGTCTAATGGGAACATCGACATAAAGTTAACCTCCAGCTATCCTGGCAGGAGTCATTATAATATGGATTATAGTTGCATTGGCCAAGGGATGCTGGTTTTAATGTTCCCAGAGAGATAAAGAATTAATCAGCAACTCAGAAGAGAATGTTGCCTAAAAATGGACAATTTAATTCAGACAACCCCATTGTCTCTAAAATTATGCCCTCAATCACCCAGAGTCAAAAACCTACTATGGCCCCAAATAAATTCTGTGTGGTTAAAGAGACAAAATGTTCTTTTTTCTACAGACTGTTATGAGAAGCAGAAAAAGGCTGACTATGAATCAGTTATGTCTTAGATCAAGGATGGGTATAAATTATGATAATGTGTGCATTCTGGTGGTTAAACCAAGAAAGCAGGAAAACCATTGCTTCCAAGTTCTAGCAACGCTTCAAACCAAAAGGCTTGGCGCCAAAAAGTTAAGTTTGGGGCACCAAAGTGCAAGACAGGGTCAAAAAAAGGCACCTTAAATTTATTTGTGGACTTTTCCTGCCTCCACTAAAATCGATGACACTATTTCCCATCTCTTATTGTCAAATCACAACAGTCCGGAAGCCTGGACCAAGTTCACTTGGCAGGTAACAGGAACACCCCTAGGAGGAAGTCCTGAAGGATATCAGATATCATACTGTCTTTACTGCCACATACTTTTCATTTCAGAAACACCAGGATATATTTATGATGCTTTTTGACTGATACACACCAAGCATTCCGGCTGACACAAACTGCAGAAACTGGCATACTCTAGGGAAGGTCCTTTGTGAGGTCTTTAAGTAGCTTAGATAAGTAAAACATTCAGACTACTTCTATAATGAACACCTCTCCAGCGCTCATAAATTCTTTCATTCCCAGCAATCAAGAAGCAGCTGTTAAAATCTTGGAATCTTCCTAGCAGCAGATCTGAAATACCTCCAGGCTGACCCGGGAAGCTTCACAACTGCTTTCTTCTCCTTCCCCTCCCCTGCCCCAGGAGTGCCAGCCTGGCAGGAATAAAGATGACCCAGGAAGGAAAAAAAGAGAGTAGCGGATCTGGTGAAAGCAGAGACGCAGACTCCCTTCATTTTCACTACAGAGAAATATCAACTCTCTGTGCCAACTAACGAGGTTTCTTCTTTCCTCTCCCACCCCTACCCCTCCAAACACGCGTTAACTTCTGCAGTCTGGTGCGTCTGGCATTTCCAGGGAAAACGATCTCAGCAGTCCTGAGCACTTTCCTCAAGATTCTGAACCAGGAACTTCCTTTCCGCGCCAGCCTGAGTTTGAGGTCCAACCCACGTCAAGACTCAGCTTCCCTTCACCTTGTAACCTGTACGGACAACGCCGCTTCTGGGGTCAAGTTCAAGATGAAGGTGCCCTCCTCATCTCCCATGTTAACTCTAGCAGGGAACAATGCCACTGAGAACGGTCCCAACACTAGAGGGGATCTGGGGCTGCCAGGAGCGGGCCGGAGGGGGCTGGGAGAAGGCTGTCGGCGAGCCTGGCGTCCTCCGCCCCTTGGCCGCAGCGCCGGGTTTCTACCTGGCCAACGCCACATTTCCTCCCGGAGCCTTACACAATAAGTCCACTAAGTTTTGAGAACGCCGGTCCAGGGACCTTTCTGTCTGCAAACACGCCACACAATGCTTAGAGCTTCCTTCCCAGCCAGCGTTCCGGAAAGCCGCCGCGCCGAAGCCGAGAGCCGAGCGCACACAGCGCCGCGCGCCCGCACCCTAAAGTCCTCCAGGAAGCAAGCTCCCCGATATCGTTCCCCTAAAATGACCACTCTGCATCCAAGAGCAAGGGGGCTCATAATCTTGACAATTCTCGCTTTTCTCAGCGCCCCATCTCCAAAGAAAACCCTCAATGTCTAATCCTAACTCACCCCCACCCCCAATAAAGGAGTGTGGATACGGTCATCGCAGTGTTCTTGGAAGCAAAGCAACAGACTTTCAGCCCTGACTGGGGCAATACGACGCCCCCGGCTAAAGTTCTCTCGTCAACTTCGCGACTGGCGCACCCCAACACTCCGGGGGACGCCCAGGACCCTGCGGCGCCCGGCGCGCCTCCCCTCCCCGCCTCCCCCGCACCAGGTACTAGGCGTAGACCAGGCCCTTGCCAAGCCCAAAGGCTACAGAGAAGGCGGGAAAGGGGGCGAGCAGGCGCGCCGGGCGGGGGTGGTACCAAAACTCGAGCGTGCCCCGAGCGTTCCCAGTTCCCACTACCCCTGTTCCACCGGAGGCCGGCTCGGTCCGGCGGGGGGGGAACCGCGCAGGGAAGGTGCAGACTCTCCAGAGCCGCGGAGACCAAGGCCCTGGGCGCCCAACATGTCTGTGCCTATCCCCGGAAAGCTCCCGGGTGTGCCCGGCGGAGGAGGGGGCGCTCCAGAAACTTTCCCACACGCCTTTCCTTCTCCCATCACCCTCTCCTCCTCCCCGGTACCCTCTCCTCCTCTCCTCACCCCGGCAGCTGGCCCTGCCCGGGGCGTTCGGAGGCCCGCGGCGGTGCCTGGGCGGCGGGAGTTACCTGCCAGGAAAGTTTCCAGCTCCTCCGCACGCTTCCCCACACCCAGGGCCGGGCCTCGGGGCGCGGTCAGCTCGGCGCTCCGCGGCTGCCTCTCCTCCGGCTCCCGAGGCGCCCGCCGCTCCCGCAGCTGCCACAGCTAAGCCTGCGCTCCGGCCCGTCCCCCAGCCTCGCTCGGCCCACACCGGGGCCTCATTGGCAGCGCGAATCCCCGCCCTTGCGCGTGTTCCCGAAGGCACCTTCCTCTCGCGCGCCCGCCCCGGCCGCGCCTCCCGCGCCCCTCCCCGCCCCGCGCTGCGGCGGTTCCAAGGACCCGCTGGGGAGCGGCGCGCGAACTTTCCGCGGGTCTCGGGCGCTGGGCCCCCTTGTCCCGCCTCTCAGGGCTTCGTCCCGGCCGGAGGCTCCCTACCGTCCCTCGGGGCAGCGGGTCCCCCAGGGCTGAGCCTGGACCCCTCCGGGACCGGAATAAGATGGGCCATAGTCTTTTTTACAACCTCTTCAAAATCAATAAAGCTACCCAGCCTTCCCTCCTCGCTGCTTTTTTACCACAGTCGAGGAGTACGTATGGGAGCAATTAACCGAGCTGGAGTTTACGTGGACGCTTTAGGGTGGCTTGTGCTGCTTTCTTGGATTTTCTCTGCCTCACTTAACTACACACAAACGCAAACACACTTTCTGGGGCCAGAATGAGCTAAATGAGCTGGAAGGTCTAAGAAGGCTTCTCGCTGGCTGCGTCTTTTTCTTTCCCGAAAGCTAATGGGGGGCGTTCTGGGACCGGTGATTTCCCGGGCGTCACTGGGGCCCCGGGTCTGGAGCCTCCTGCGACCGCTCTGGGCTGACCCGTGCTGTCTGCGCTCCATCCACAGAAGGCCAGCGTCGTGCTTCTGTCGGAAGGAGGTGGGAGGGACGGAGGGTAGAGAACACACAAAGATGCTATTATTTTGTCGGTTGGTGGCAGTAAATTAAACTCCTGAGTTCCCAAAATGTTTTGTTATTCTCCAGCAGAGCAAAAACCAGAATGGGCGTAGGGATTCGGGTGTCCTGGGTTCTCCAAGATTCTCCCAGGAATCCCAGGCAGCTAAATTGGCCTAGAGGACTCAGCCCACTTCATACCCGAAGCTCTCTAAGCCAGCCTTCGTTGATCTAGTTGATCAAGGAAGGATAAACTAGAACTATCGCTGCCTTGTGTGGCCAGCGGGAATTGTGCACAGGTCACCCCACTGGTGTATCTGGAGCAGAGAACAGAGAAGTTGCTATAAACTGATTTATTAGCAACCCCTAACCTTGCTGTGGCAAACCCGCCTTTAAATACGATTGTGTTTTAAACAAGTTTCCCCATAAAAACTTCAACCTCATGCAGAGGCTTCCCAATATAAAGACATCAGCAGGAGTGGTGTCCATATTTAAAGTTCTTATGAAAAGGGACCGGAAGCAAAATGCCACACAATCTCTTTTCATAAATTAAAAAGACTGAAATGGTCTGGATTTTTCACCCATATTTTCAAAGGCCTAATTACTGCTATGTTGATATTCGAGCAGTAAACACATCGGCAGCCTTGAAGTATTCCTGAAACAAGGGAGGATAGAATGTTTAAAATAAAAATGCAAACTTAACCCAGAAAAGCTATTGACTTCTTTCTCCATCAGAAACGTTTCATTGCTGAAAAATATAGTAATGTTTTATTTAATTGCTGTTGAAACGAAATCTTTCAACAACAGACAAAAAAGCCAGACAGCAACCTTAATGATAAAAGAATGATGCAAACAAAAGACAAAAACTCCAGGCAGTCTAACTAATCTGAAATATTAAGATATAAGAGAAACAATCCTAAGAAAATAGCCTGGTAAGGTTTCCTGCTCCAGATTTCTTTATAATGGGTGAAAGGTATAATGGATGAAATTTATCATTTGTACCACGTTTTTATGGTTTTGACTCTTCTCAGCTGTATTTCCAAATTTTTGATGAAACTGCTTAAATGGGGCTTTGAAGGCAATGGAATTTTTTCCCCCTCTACACTCAAAGCTCCTTAAGTAGCAAGTAGAAAATCACATAAATATGTTCATTACTGGCATCTTCTTTAAATTATTTTTAGTTGAAAAAGTTTTGTCTTTATAGTTTTAGGAGTCACAGTCACTAGAAAAGTAACTTCATCACCGCCTAGTTAGGAGTGTTTAACATTCTAAACAGGCATACAGCTAGCAATCTGAAATGTGCACACAGAAAGGCCCTGTCTCCCCTTCTTCCTGTAGTGTTTATATAATCCAAACTACATATGTTAATATGCACAATCTGATCTCCAGCTTTAAACAGCTGACGTTACATATACTATGTTGTACTAAGAACATCAAAGAAGCTGTCTTAAGCTGCGGGTGAAAATGGTACATTTTATAAAAGACAAGGCCAAAAACAATATAAATAAATAAATAAATAAATAAAAATTCATGGGTGAGGAAAACAGGGGACTTCCACTAAGATCAGTTTTGTAAGAAAAAAATGTGAACATTTTCTAAGCATCTTAATAAGTGAAGTATTATTAGCTGAGCACATATTCAAAAAATAAATTTTAATGGTTTTTTAAAAATCTGCTTTTCCCTTAAAAAATAAAAGCGTTTTTAGTTAGTTGTTAGGTGATGGTTTGTTTGTATTTTCAGAAAAAGGAAAGTAAGAATCATCTCTTGCTTTTCTGAGGGTATCTCTCCTTATCCCATCTACTTTAAGCTCATTCATCACAATTCTGTTGATACCAGTTAGAGAAAAAAAGAAAAATATGGATCACATGAATTGTCTATGCTGCACACATTCCCCAAACAGACATACAAAATACTGGATTCCATTTTTAAATTTTCTGTCAGTTTGCCAGCAATGTAGCTCTTCTCAGCAGAGTGAAAGAAAACAGCAAATAATAAACTGGTTATTTTACTATGCAATTTACTGCCCAGGGGAATAGGCTGAGGAAGGCGTGAGAAAAGAATGTGCCTTGTGAGTGTTAGCATGCTTTTTTCTCTTGCTTGGATTCGTAAGTACTTCTATTTTAAATCAAGTCTAAGTTAGGCTCATAGCCAGTGTTTATTATGGTATGTGTAGTATAGAATACATAGTGAGAAGTAAAATGTTTAAAACACTGTAGTTAATTATGTACAAAAACTGTGACAGGACTAAAAAAAAATTTAAGTCAATTTTTAAGGCAAAATGTAAGGAAATCTAGACACAAAATAATTCAGCACACAAACACTTTTGTCCTTCTTTTTGGCATCTTTTAATGTTTACAAAATCCATTCTTCTTTGGTCCATTCATTCTTCCTCCCTATTTTAACATTTTGGGGAAGAAAATAACTTTTGAAGACATTGAGATTAATAAAATAATTTGGATGTAGTTAGAAATCAGGTGGGAATAGCATGAAATTGCATATCCCTACACAGTCCCAGCATGTGTAACAATCCATGGTCACACGTGGGTGCCAACACCATGGTCAGCTACAAGCTAATGGCAGACATTCATCCAGGAATACAGAAAGCCATAGCTGTGCACAGTTAGCCAGACAGTTAAATAAGGAGTCATGGCACATATAAACCCCTCCACAGGTCTAGCGCATGGCCTGCCAATATTGTAGAGACTCATCCAATATGGGCGAGGCAGTAAATTGTTGAAATTGAGAGAAGCAGCAGCGATATAGATTCACAGGTTCACATTTCCTTGTAAGAACATGAGAATGACTGAAGTCCTGGGAGAACCTGGTTTAAGATGGCATGCCATCTGACTAATATTTTAAATATAAATTTACGTTTATAAATTTAAATTCAGATTTTAAATACAGATTTTCATTAATCTTCTAACGGTGAAATACCCTATAGGGGGAAACAGGAATTTCCCATGTTCAGGAAAGGTAAGGTAAGGCAATTAGATAGTAACTCCTCTGAGAAATGTCATTGAGTCTGGTTAAGACGGTTTAAAAAGAAATATGTTGTTAACTTTGAGT